AGTCAACTACATGAGGGCACTTCAAAAAGTTAATGGAAATAAGCTTTATTTCTTTATTGTATTTTATCTGTGAACTGTTTATTCAAACTTAAAACTTGCACATATGTTTACCAAAACATTACTGTAAAACATACTTTTAAATGCCATACACCTAAGAATAAATTAGCAATGTAATACATAACAAATTATAAATATCCCTATTTAAAAGAGCCCATATAAATTAAAAGAATGTAAATAGTACAATAGATACACTACGAACAACTATTTCATCAAATGAAAACTGACACAAAATGCTTGGAAGATAAATGTGAATTTATCTTTATAACATTTTTTTACAAACAAGCTAAGTGTAAACGTACTGAATAATATTTTACATCTACTTAGGCTTCAATAGAAAGTTATAGTGTGTGGGTGATAGCATAGAACAATTGGAACTTCTAATGGGAGTGTAAGTTGATTCTATCACAGAACAGCTCTTTGAAACTACTACAAAAGAGAACAGGCACTTTCCTATAGACCATAACTCTACCTAGGCATACAATTCTGTGTCTTTCCCATCAGGGGGCATTCTAACAGCTTTATTTATAAGAGAACACCACTTACTAAAATTTCCATCTATATCATAAAAGATAGCATTCACAATTATACAGCCTTGAAAATAAGCAAATGGAATAATGCTACGCCCAAGCCAAGATTGAACCTGAGACAAGTGATCATGACATAAATCCCTACTAAAATTTTAAGTTCATAAAGGGATATATTAATCAACTGTGTAGATATACAAATATAGACAATAAAAATGTGGTCGAATGTCATGAAAATTCCATTGTTGTAGAGCAAAAATGATCAAATAACAGCAGTTTTGACCTAATAGGAAATGATAAATATAAGATTTTAGGATCATTATAGAATTCAGCCAAAAAGCAAACAACCCAATTTATAAAAAATGGCAAAAGATTTTACTAGATATTTCATATAGTACGTATAAATGCTCAAAGGAGTAAAAGTAAAAGGATGAAAATCAAAACCGCAATGAAATTCACCCTCACTTTACCTTCAATATGAACATTGTGATTTGTTTTAATGTAAATAACACCTATTAGTAGGGGGATATAGAAAAAGGGGATTGTGTAACCATTGCCCATGGATGTAAAAATGGTACAGCTGCTGTGGAAAAGTTTGGCAGTTTCTTTTAAAAAATTATACATTGAATTTTCATATAACTCCAAACTCCCAAACTTCAGTGGATACCCAAAAGAACTGATGAAAGCAAAAATACAAATTAAAGGCCATATACCACTATTCATGGCTGTACTACTCACAATAGGCAAAGGGTGCCAATATATTTACTTTACACTGATGAAGCTGCTTTCATGCATCTGACCTTCATAACTGTAAGAGAACTTGTATTATTTTCAGCCACTACGTTTGCAAATTTGTGATTTCTTATGTAAACCAAGAGAAGACGTATGTGGTGCACATGGCCCAATTCTAGCTGGTGATGAAAAAAATGGCTTCTGCATAATATTTTGGAAATACCATCTCTCCATGATAAAGACAGGAAGGAGTGGCAGCCATGCACTGTGTCTCCTTCTTGGGTCTAGAAATGACGTGTGCACAGTTGCAGTACTTGGAGAACATCAAGGGAACACCCTGAGGAGGAAGCCAACACATGAGAGAGCAAACAGCAGACTGCCATTTCTGTACCTGAGCTCACTCTGTGTCTGAATTCTTTGTGAGGAACAAAAATACTTATTTTAATAGTTTTTCCCACCTAACACTTTTCCTTGTGTTTGCCACTTTTCCTTCCACATAACTAAAACATTCTCACTGAGAAAATTGAGGTATCTAAATCTTCCCAATCTTTTCCAAATAGGGAGCCAATGTGATTTTGACAATTTTATAGATAAGGAAACAACTTAGAGGATTGAAATTAATTTTTAAACACCATGGAGCTTCGGCAAAACAGATTCAAATCACGGTGATTCCAAAGCTCTCAACTTTAACCATCATAACTCTGGTCTCCTGTTTTCAAAGACATTGGTCAGATTTCTTTGACTCATTATTTATTTCCCTCTAAGCCAGCAACATAAGGGTGAAGCTTCTGACAGATCAATGGAAAGAAAGTGTTCTAGAGAGGAGCTTCCCCAAAGCCTCCATCATGTCCTTGTTCCTGAGACTGTAGATAAAAGGGTTCATCATCGGGGTGACCACAGTGTACATTATGGAGGCTATTGCACTCTTCGGAGAGGAGTGGCTACCTGAAGAACTAAGGTACACCCCAAAACCTGTCCCATAGAATAAGCAAACAACTATTAAGTGTGATCCACAAATCGAAAAGGCCTTATACTTTCCACTAGCTGATGGAATTTTTATAACAGAGGAGACAATTTGAGTGTAAGAAAAAATTATTCCACAGAGAGGAATAACTCCCAAAAGACTGGTCACTACATAAACCAAGATGTTATTGATGAGAATATCCGAACAAGCAAGTTTGAGAAGCTGAGCTAATTCACAGAAGTAGTGGGGGATTTGAATATCTGTGCAGAAGGACAGCCGCAATGCCATCAACGTGTGGAGGAGGGCATCCAGAACACTAATGACAAAGGACAATACAACCGTAAGTGCACAGAGTTTGATATTCATAATGGCCGTGTATCTCAGTGGGTGGCAGATGGCCACAAATCGATCATAAGCCATCATAACTAGAATTCCGTTTTCCAGCCCAGCAAAAGTCAGGACAAAGCATATCTGAGTGAGGCAGCCTATGTAACTGATGGACTTGTCCTGGGTCTGGATGTTCACCATCATCTTGGGGATTATGGTGGTGCTGAAACAGAAGTCAGTAAAGGACAGGTTGGAGAGGAAGAAGTACATGGGGGTGTGGAGGTGAGAGTCAAAGATGATCGCCAGGATGATGAGCAGGTTCCCAGCTGCAGTGATCAGGTATATGGTCAGGAAAATCCCAAAGAGAAGGGGCTGCAGTTCTGGATCCTGTGAGAGTCCCAGGAGCAGGAATTCTGTCCTATCTGATAGGTTTCCTATTGCCATGCTGTTGATCAATGTGCTAGAAAAGATGGAAATGGAAAGGAAATAACGGCAAAATAAATCTCTTTCCTCTTGTCAAATCAGTTTTAAATATCTGCTTATGCTTCTTTTTCTTGTCTTCCTTTCCTCTCCATCACTTACCTTTATTACCCTCACTATTTTCTTCATTGCTACATATTCTTTTCATGGAGTCACTGAATGGTAAACACTTTATATAAAAAAGATGCCGAGAAAAAAATGAAAACCTAATTCTGAAAAAAAAAACAGTCATTTAACCTTCTCCAAACCTTGTAGTAGTTAGATTTTATATCAACTTCAATTCGCATGAACGTGTAGGAGTGCAGTCCATCTTATCAATCAGGTCACAGCCAGATGCTGCCTCCTGGCGGTGTGGCTTTTTCTACAAGAAAGACAGTGAGAACTCTTCTTTCTTGACCTTCACCTTAATCCTTTCTGGGATTGAGTGTCCGCATGCAGAGGCAGCCCCAAGTGGGCTGCTGACCCTGGGAGCCAACCTCAAAGATATCTGTGCCCTGCCATGTCTCCACCCACTTTGGATCCACATGACTCTGCACCAACAATGATCTGTGATCTCCTTGTACCACACTTCACCATTGCATGCCATCAGCCATTGGCTATGTTTGTCCGAAGAGGGCTCCAGCAAGCATCAGACCCATGGTCTTGAGTTGAACTGGACTGGGATGCTTTTTTGATAGTAAGTTCCCTGTTACACACACAAACACACACACGAGTGCCACTGGTTTTGTTTCTCTAGACAATACAGCCATAAACAGACCACTGACAACAATGATGTAGGAAAACAGATAAGATGGTGAATCTGAAATCCCTATCTTCAAAAGAAAGGAAGGTGTATTCCATTTGATTGAGATGAAAAATAGAACATAAGCTATTGGAAAGTGTAAGCCCTTTTCCCTTTGTAGATCATTTCATAGTTGATTGCTTATTCTATGGGACAGGTGTGGCGTGTATCTTAGTTCTTCAGGTTCTGAGTCACTCCACTCAGAAAAGTGTGATAGCCTCATAATGCACACTGTGATTACCCCTTTAATGAGCACCTTTATCTATAAGCTGAGGAACAAGGACATGAAGGGAACTTTCACAAAACTCACCACTAAGATTTTTTCTTTCCATTGATATATCAGATGCTTTACTCTTATATTGCTGGATCATGTCAAAAAAAAAGAAATAATGAGTCATTCAAGAGAAAAGTAGACTAGACCAAATAAGAAAATGATGGGCAAAACTCTCACTGGCCTGCTGAAACACAAACATCATCAACTCTGCTCAATCATTGCCAATACAACAATACACTGATGAATGATGATGAGAAAAGTGAGATATTTCTTAGCTCTCTATACTGTCCTGGTGATTACAGAATTAGCCAAAGCATAGTTTAACCCATTTAGCAGCCAGTTACATCCCATACAAACTCTAGGAGGTGACTGAGATAAGAACTGTATAGCTATAGATAATTCCTATCACAATGTACACACATATGGATGTGAGCAAGCTCCACACCATTGTTGACGAAAAATTGAAGATATGGAAATAGGGCCAATTAGAGGGCAACACAAGTGGGCAAAAGCCCTTTCGAAGCCACTCACCTCACCCAAGCTGCCCTTGATCTAAAGGAATTTCATTCCCCAAACAAGCACCCTGACCCCAGCCATCATCTGAGCCTGCATGAACTAATTTGAACTAAGGTGTCTAGTCTCAGGTAAAAGATAAGCCAGCTTAATCCATCCAAGGGTGGTTCAAACCCTTCACTGTTTCCCTCTACCCTGTAGCAACCTACCGGTGACAACTCGGCCCTCCAATTGTTTCTACTCGGAAAGCTCCTGCCCAATTTCATCTATTCCGTGATTTCTTTTTCTTCCTTAATTAAAAAAAAACAAACTTTCCCTCTCTTTCCTTTCCTTTTCCTAAGTGCATTGTTTTCTTCAGGAATTCATTTCCCCTCCCTTCTCCTTACTTTTTTCTATGTTGCTTTTTTCAATCCATTACTTTTCTAATTTCCGCCATTCTTTTCTGATCCCATCTTCCTAATTGTGTCACGGTTTCTTGTTTTCTGTCTTCTCCTTTCTTTTTTGCTACCCTGGTTATTGTTTTAGTCAATAAATTATTTTTTTTCTTGCTATTGTTTGTCTGCTGTCCTCAGTTTATTTATAAAATATTTTCCTTTGAAATATTTTCTTCTTAAAAAATACCGAGGGTGATTTTTCTTCTAACTCTCCTTTTTCTTTCTCTTTTTGTTCCAACCAAATATAGACAATCGTACCACATGATGCAGCCACTCTCATATCTCAGACAAATATATTTACTGTGCAAGGCCCAATGCTAACTCCAGTACAAACTAATTATAGCAAAAATATAAACAAAAGAATAACACAACGTCTCAGACACAATAAACAATTGAAGTTCACATGAAGAAATAAAAAATTGACTCAAACCATTGAAAAATATTAAAGCCAATAGATATTCCTGGAGAAGAAAAGTGATAAGAATTACCTGATAAGAAATTCTCAAGAATGATACTTGCGTGCTCTCAATAGATTGAGAGGCAGATTGAAAAAACTACACACTAAATCCAGGAAACCAAAGGAAAAAATTAGAAGAATTCAGAAAAACACAACAAGAAAAGATGAAAATACAAAGAGAAATTAAACATCAAATGAAAACATCACACGCAAATGAGAATATTATATATCAGAAAAAGAAAACGTCAAAATGAATAAATAAAATTGAATGAATGGAAGGCCAAATTAGTGAGCATGAAGATAAGGCTGTCAATATTAATCTAGTAGATCCATATAAAAAATAAAAGAAAACCTAAGAAATATGTGGGATTACATCAAAAAAATGTGCTTGCATGTGATAGAAATTCCAGAAGAGGAAGAAACAGCAACAAATGCAGATAAAATTGTCAAATAATTGCTGGGAAAAAGTTACCTAATGAGAGGATAAGTATTCAAGTAGCTTAATGAACTCCAAACAGGGTATGCCAAGAAGAAAATAATCACCACTTATCATAATCAAATTTTCCAAAAACAAAAACAAGGAAAGACAACTAAAAGCAGCCTTAGAGTAGCAAAATATTACCTACAAAGGGAAATCACTAGGAATAACCTCTAATTCCTCAACAGAATCTATATAGGCAAGTAGGAAATACTATGGCATACATAAAATCCTGAAAGAAAAAAATTCCAACCATGAATCATATACTCAGCAAAATTATCCGTAAATTTTTTGTAAATTTAGAGAAAAGAACATCACTAAATATAGCAGCCACAAAGTGTACGATGATGTAATTGGTGAGGGTATTAGAATAGGAACATCTGTGGATCTGAGAAAGTTCACTGAAAGTGAGGATTTTCCAGGCTTGAGCAATGTCCTCAAACTATGAAGTCGCATATTTACAAGACTAATTACCAAGGAGAAAGGGGAGACAGACACAGAGTTCGTGATGATGATGTACGTAGTGGATTGACAGATGACCCCATAGCAGTCAAAGGACATTACGCCAAGACAATGTTTTAAACCATGAAAAACCGAAAGGGCAGTTAAGAGCGAGCAAGCAGGAGCCTGTTCCGATGCCCCAACAGAGCCCTGCCTGAATCCAAGGAACTGGCTTCTTCAAGCTCCTCTGGCAGTGATTCTGGTAGTGAAGGCCCTGATTGGTATTAGAGAATATTGGATCGATCAAGAAGGTGAAATGAAGCCAGGAAGAAACACTATTTCTTTAAACTCTGAGCAGTGGAGCAAGCTGAAGGAACAGGTTTCTGACATTGAAGGCTCAGCTGAACCAAACTGTAAAGCCTGAGCCACATCCCACCTTTACTGTTCTCATCGTTTTAACCTGGCTTCATACACTGACTGTTATTTTCTAACTATTGGTTTTCAGATGATTGTATATTTGGATTTCAGAAGAACTTGATGGATACTTCTCTTTTAAAAAATGTCCATTATTAGAAACAGTCTGATTGCAGCTAATTGTCAACTTTATTAAGGAGGATTGCTGGTATCCACCACCTAGTGTAATGTAAAATAAAGTCGAGTAAATAGTATATTAACTCTTGTGGCCTTTTTTGATCCAGAAGAGCTGATACTGTTTATGGCCTAAAGCCACAGTTTGTAAACTTTTGAATTTCAAAAAAAACTATTGTATTAATTAAACTTATAAATTCTGTTTCTTACAACCAGATGCCTAGACATATTTGACTTTTCAAATCCAACAATACTTTCATCCTCTCTCCCCTTCCCCTCCATTTTATTTTTACTGATTTTTCATGTTCAATTTATTCTTCGAATATATTATGCTAGTTTGCTAATGTCAGTGAAACTGTCAATGTCACGGCCCTTGTAATTAAAATATAAGGGAACTACAATCTAACTCTACTGTATTAATCTTAAGAGATGTAGTTTGATAATTGTAGGGAACTACAATCCAACTCTACTGTAGAAATCTTAAGAGATGTAGTTTGATAATCAACCTAGGTCATATGAAAACTTTGAGCAAGTGTATGTATGTCTCTGTAGTGTTCTGTGCAGGTGTTATCTTACTGTTCTGTCTGCAGTAGAATAAGCTGCCCATGTCAGATTTGTTTTACCTTATTAAACATGTTCACCATGGGATGACGTCTATAAAATGAGCCACTGTTGATTTAGTATAAGACTTAATAAACACTGAGAAAGCTTTAAAAATAACAAGAAGACAAAAGAGTCATCCTGTGTAAGCGATACTCTGATTCTATTCTTGAAGACTCACCTGGAACTTTGGTATTGTGGTTGTGCTGTTACCAATGCCAGGGAAGGAGCAATTGAAAAGAAATACAAGGGGTAAGGAAGTGGATGTTAGATTGATAAATATTTCTCAAGGAGGTTACCATGAGGAATTTTCTAAAACTGAATGTGGTGATGATTGTACAACTCTTCTTTATATGATTAGAGTTTTAATTGTATGATATGTGAATTATATGACAATAAAAAACTATTAGAAGAAAAGAAAGGTGACCATG